CATGAAAGCAGTCTTCGACTTACAACCAGAATTTATGTTGCTAAACAAGGCAGCTGTTTTAATTTTGATCATGTGACTGATGCTACAGGAGTCATACATGCAAGGACCACTCATTGTAACTTCAAATAGTCACTAAATGAGCAGTGGCTAGATCAAGGACTGCTTGTACTAATGACTGTGATTAGCACTGGTAAGAACAGAGGGGAGAGGATTTGGGATGAAAGTACCGTAGATATTCTGACAAAATTCATCATATATTCAAGTCAAAGCAAGTGAGAGAGAACTTCAGTGGTGCAACATCTGTTTTCCATGAATAAGGTCCAGAAATGGTTAGGGAAAGATCTGAAGAGTTTTCCTCAATTGGTGAAAGCAGCTTTCTGTATTCTATGCAGAAAGCATCCAATATTCATGAAAAAAGACCCTTAGTGAATCAGATATGAAATATCCTTGAAAGTGCTTAGACTGATACAGCAAAATAAAATGTCAAAACTTTTGTTAGTCTCCACTTACATATCTTCAATTTCAATGAAGGGTTTTTTTTGTGTGCCATATTTTTTTTTTTAAAAGATTCATCTCAATGTCTGCAACCTTGTGTCGATTTACTCGTATGCGGGTTTATTGAAACAAAAGACCTGTAGCCCATATAATTATAGTCTACTTGAAACCAACGGGAGTGATTTACCGATCGGCCTTTTATATGTTTATGGAAGCGTCATACAAGTCCTCATGGAAACAGATTGAGGGCCCACCTTGGCCTTGATTCTCTCATGGTTGGTGAAGGAGATACTTGAAGTTTTTCACCTTCAGAATGTGAGGCATTTCTCATAAACCCAGAAGCATTCTCCCAGAAGCATGTGGAAAATATTTGAACACACCAGGCACTTAACTTTAATCATTCTTCAGCAAACTTAGCATGTGGTGTATCACCGGAATGTCAGTGCACTTAATTCAGGAAGAGTAGCTTGTTTCCCCCGTTGCAGAAAATCTCCAAGAGAATTACTTACAGCTAGAGTGTCTTCACTTTCCTTCCACTCAGTTTAGTTCTATCCCAAGGGGCTGGTTTGATCTTCTAAGACAAGGGGAGACATGCAGAAAAATATAATGCTGGTAGAATGGAATTGCCAAGGCAGAGTTGTCTTGCAAAATAGGTGCGGATTGCAAAATAACCCTGATATATGTTAAAGCCACAAATATTTTCTAGGCATGATTTTAAACATCTTAAATCCCTTTGCTCTGATGATCTTACCAGTTTCTGTGCAGCCCCCTTTGAAGCCCTGTGGATATGGGAATTATGACTATTCTATGAATAATAAGACTACTGTTTTGATCCAATTCAGTCCTACGAGTTTGTGGTTAAGTCAAACCAAGAGTTGATTTCACTTGACTATGAGTTAGTATGAGTGCGATGGCTCATATGATTAGGACACTGGGTGGACGATCAGCAAGCCCACATTTGAGACCCAAGTTCTCCTGCATGGCAGGGTGAGCTTCCGTTATTCACTCCAGCTCCTGCCAATCTAGCATTTTGAAAGTGTGTAATCACAAGTAGATAGATAGGTGCTACTATGATGGGCATATTCATGAGGACATGAAAGGAGCCCCCAGTTGGGCATCTCTGGGCAACAACAGATAATCCTTTCAATCCAGAAGTGTCTTAGGTTCTTTCAAAACAAATGTGAGCAAGTTTGTGTTTGTCTTTCTGTGTACATGCATGGACCCAATATTTCTCTAAAACTCTTTCTAAGTCAGCCAAAAATCCGCTGCTTGGAGTCAGGATCAACCAAAGTCCAAATGCATCTTTTTTCCAAATTCTCTAAGACCAAGGGAAAAGCTATCATCTTTTTGAGCATTTATAGGTATCTAGCTGCCTATTTTTAACTCTGGGGCAAAGAAGTGAGTCTTTGGCCAAATATAGCTCAGCAGTTTCTGCAGGGACAAAAATCTCTTTTGCATTAAATAGACTTTTCGGGTACAGATTAAATCAGACATCAGAAAGCTTTATGGCACCAAGGCTCTTCATGACTACATGATCACATGAAAACAACACAGCATCTTATGACACTTTAAGGACAAATTATGGCATAAGCTTTCAAAGACTATTTCAGTATACGAATAGCTTCAGAGCTGAATAGGGAAAATTGTGCTATATCACTGGCCTCCTATATGGGAAAGAAAGTATTGACTGACATGGACAAGAGAATGACATAATTGTGAAAGCCATGTTCTCCAGCTTTTTATATTTCCCTCTCTGTCCACACCTCCCCCCCCCAAAAAAGAAGAAAAAACCAAGCCCACATCTGATGACTTCTTTTCTTGAAATCCGAAGAAACGTGCCACTACGGACATTAAAATAAGTCATGGGATGAAAATGTCTATACATTCAATAATAATGCAGCTGGGGTATCTCTGTTTTCATTCCTCATCTAAAAACCAGGCCATGACCCTTCACATGTTTTAAATATGAATATACCACCCAAACATTTTAGTCTTGTATAAGTAAATATCAGGATCTTTGAATCGTGTTGTATGTAGCGATAAGGTCAATACTTTGAATGGCACATCTCTTTGCTTATCCAGGCAGACCCATGGAGAATTTGAACCAATCACTCACAAGGTCAATTTGGTGTTGCCAAGACACAACTGAGAGCAGCTCGGTACAGTGGCTGCCATACGTCCTTACTGCTTTTCAGGGTGTGGCTGAAGAAGACAGTCTTGGAACTATTCACCTACTGAGAACGTTCCCCAAGAGAAAAACGTAATGTCAGGAACAATGAATTATTTCCCCATCTTGGTTTCCGGCTAAGAAATAGCCTTTACCTACCACCAAAGTAAGACATTTGGGAACTTGGATTCCCTTCGTAGGTCATCTTTGTGTAGATGACTTCACTCATCCCAGTTGTCCAAATTTGATCAGGGTCTTGACTGGAAATGAGTCATGTCAGCATTCTTCTTAGCACTCTATAGATTAGAACTACCTATTGGTTGATATTTCTTTCTAACAATGGTCTGTAATGTTAGTAAGTCTTTTTTTAAAATTCTTGTTTATTCCAGACATCCACAAATATCCCATCACCAATACAAAGAAAAACAGCATTTTTTTTTTCTTTCCTTGTAGGAAGCCAAATCCTTTCCTACAATGTTTAGGTCTTTTTTTTTTTTTTTTTTTTGTGCAGATAGAAGCAATTTGAACCTTGGATCATCCAGAAAGAGGAGCCAGGGGAGAATTTTCATGATCCATCAGTGGTGCCTTTAAAAAACAGTGACCTGAAACAATTCCTTAGCTGCTCTGCAGGGCTAGTGAAAAAACCAAAGAGGCACACACAAAATCGAATAGATCTCCCTTTTTTTTGCTTCTTCCTATCTCTGATTTGTTGTTCTTCTCCTGTTTCTTCAGTGTTAATTAAATGCTTAGAACATAAGTTGCTGTTCAGAAACCCTTCTGCTCCAGAGAGGTTTCCAAAGAAATGTACAACTAATGTCAGAAGAAACTAGCAAAGTAATTGGCCTCCAACAGCTTCTGAGGATGGATGTGTAAGATAACAAACACAAAAGTTGTTCTGGGGAGGCTTGACCAGGGATGGGGCAGAGAGGTGACACCATTGCTGTGTCCAGATAATGAAAAACAATGAGTCTCTTTGACTGTCTATGTGCAGTAGAAAATTGGGGGCACTGGAAAGGATGGTAAATATTTCCCCACCAGATTCAGCGCTTTTAATTTTAATTGGTTTAAGGCAATGCTTGACAATGGAAATGTTTTGCTGGGATGATATGGGCAAGAATGCAAAAGGATTAAAATCCATGGATTGGCACAATTGCTGATACCCACATGCTCCAGAATACTATTCCATTATCTTTGCCCATTCTTTGATTCTTTGATTATTATTTTTTTACTGTGCCTTTTCTTCATCTATATTATTCATTTCTGATCTTTTATGGACTATCTCCGTGCCTTCCCTCTGCATCAAAGAAAACCAAAAGACTGCAGCGGAATGTTTAAAACTAATAATGGGTTGAATAATGAGGAATTAAACATTTGTCTAGCGAACGGCAGGACTCAATGAAAGGTGATCAGGCTGATAGATGTTTGAAGAATGGACGGGGAATTGAAGAGGAACAATTTGGATTTTTTTTTTTTAAAAAAAGCTCATCAGATAATTACATTGATAAATTGATTAATATGGCAAATAAATGACGGCGAAGGCAGATGGATGGATAATTGGATGGATGAATGGATGAATGGGCAGAACGATGGTTTGATGAGGCTGATAAATGTGCTTGACTTGCGATTCCATCATTCCAGGTTTTTTAGTAGCGATGAGGAAAAAGAGCTTCCAACACTCCCATCAGTTGACTAACCCATAGTCTGCTTCTTAAAGTGCAACATGGTGCCCCATCATCACTTCCATTCCTCACGTAAACCACATCCTGGGGAGGCTTGCAAAAATGGCCTTCTCAGAATGGTAGCGAAGACCTTCAAAGAACCAACCAAAGGGGAGGCAAGAAATCCAGAATATGAGTGGATGCTTTGAAGAATGAACAGATATGTACAGCATTATCATTATAAAAAAGGGGAGGGGGCAGTCCCATTGGCCAAGGAGACACCAAAGGAAGAGGATGCTTTGTTGACTTGCTTGATGGACAGTTGTCTCTTGGACGAAAGCATCTCTCCTTCCAGGGGCATTTGGGCAGGCAGAAGCATTTGGTCAGAGAAAGGAGAAGTTGACGTGTTTTTCACAGAGCGTTTGAGGAGGATGGAATGATCGAGGAAGGATGTGAAAACTTATTCGGCTTATCCGGGAAATATTTGTGATGAACTGACCCAAAAAAGGGTGGTTGGCTTGGAATCAGAATGCTCCTCCCTCCCCTTGTCCTCCCAGCAATGGAATCAAGCTGTAGACTGGTTTCTGTTTTTTTCAGGTTCCCCCAGTGGTATGGATGGTTAAAAGTCTGTGGTGCGGGAGAAACCAGGCAGCATTTTGCAAGCATCCTCGCTCTTCTTATCAAAACTTGAGCAGGAAATAAGCAAAGAGAGTGCCCGATAGCCAGATGCAGGCCATTGCTCTGGAAGCTGCATTGTTGCCATCGTGTACTGCTCCTGGGCCTGGATTGGATGACAGACATACACACACACACAAAAAAAAAAAAAAAAAGAAGGAAAGAAAGACAGTGGTCATTAGCAAAATGAGATTCCCCTCCCCCTTTGCAAATATCAAGGAGGATTCTCAGAAACATTTGCGGGCATAAGATACATTTGGGAGAGAAAATAAAAAGTTATAGAGAGATATGGGGTGAAGTCTCAGGGCAGAAGGCAGAGCAAAGGTTCAGATGGCCAAATATGGTCTTTGAAGGTCTTGGGTATAATAGTTAGATTTGCCCCACTGAATTACAGTTCAGTGAAAAGTATTAGGTACGTAATTGGAGAATATTATCTAGACTTTAATGTCAATCCTGGTGAAATAACACTGTTTACTTACCTTTTCCATGGATTTTTAGAGTATAAACCAGGGGTGTCCAACTTTGGCAACTATAAGACTTGTGTCCCAAAAGTGCTTTTTTTCAGAAGACAACTGGACTTTCTTGTTTTTTGTTTTTTTCTTTTGAAGACATTTCGCTTCTCATCCAAGATGTTTTGCTTCTCATCCAAGAAGGTTCTTGAGCTTTGACAGAATAGTGGGGATAGTTGTCAGAGCTGAAGAAACTTCCTGGATGAAAAGCAAAACGTCTTCAAAAAAACCAAAAAAACAAAACACCAAGTCCAGTTGCCTCCTGAAAAAAGCACCTTTGGGACAACCATGACTTGGATGACTGAGAATCTCTACAACTATAAGACTTGTGGACTTCAACTCCCAGAATTCCCCAGCCAGCCAATTCCCCATGGATTTTAGCCTTTGGCCCAAAAATATCTTGTGCATTCCACTTCTAAGGGGATCCGTAACATCTTCTTTAATTACCCTGCTTTCTTGAGAGTGTTATGGCTGCTCTCATGCTTGGCCTGTGACACAATCACCAAGAAGAAGAAGAAGAAAATGTCCTTTGTTCAACATATATCATGGCTCACATGCTTGGAAAAAACAGGTGAATGGATGGAAATAATAAAAGAGGTTAAGGAAGTCCTTAGGGGAGAAAGTGAGCATTCAGAAAACTATATTCCTTGAGAATGGTTCAGGGATGTTAATAACCAGAACAAAGGAATCATACAAGGGTAAAAGCCAAAGCAAACACAATCCTATAAAAAGAAAATAACATTGCATCATTAATCATTTGCAAAAGGGGGCGAGGAAGGGATAAGCACGGATATTTTATTGAAGTGTTGCAATGTAAATTCCATACAACATCATGACATGTGTTAAAAGACAGAGATGTCTTAATGCAGCTTTCATTATTTTGTTGACATAATGGTTTTGAATGGATGTTGTGTGTACAGTATGAAGCCATTGTGTTATTTTAAACAAAGAAGTTATTCCCTACCAATGCAAGAAATATGTACATTTTATACAGAGTAACCATGTAAGAGGAAAGATCCAGAGTATTTTATGGAATGTTGTATAGGTTGAAAAGGACCATGTCCTTTGAGCAGAAACTGGTCATATTTTCCTTGGGAAGTCTCCCAAATTCAGTATCAATCATCTCCAGCCAAGCAGACAGCAGATAGGAACTGTTGGGGTTGTGGAAGGTAAAAGGATGAGAAATGGAAGAAATGGATTAATAATCCCATTTATTAATCAAATCAAAATTCTTGGCAACTCACAAGTGTCTCGTCCAAACTTTCATTTAGTAACTTCTTTTCTTGGTCAATTTCCTAAGAAGTAGTGCAGGCATATCTTGCCTTACAGATTTCTCTAGATTTATTTCCTTTGTGAAATATTATATTGCTCTGGTACAAATGTCTCAATTCACAGCAAGTTAATAAAGACTCAATGGTACTTTAGTTTTTCATGAAGACAAGATTTCATCTGTCGTTTGAGACTATTGTTCAACCTTCCCCAACTTGGATGCCTTCCAGATGTATGGAGCTTTTCCCCCAAATTCTCAGCAATCAATCTCCTGGCCAGAATCTCGAAGAGTTGCACACCGAAATCCGGAGTACGTTCACATTAGTCAGGTGGCACAATTCATAATGTTATGTAAATGAGCCACAGGCTGTAAGATTCTCATTTCCCCTGGACTTTCTTGTTTTTTCTTTGAAGGCATTTCGCTTCTCATCCAAGAAGCTTCTTCAGCTCTGATAGGATAATGGGGAATGGAAGGATTTATATTCCTTGCAGACAACTGGTCATTTGCATCCTTTTAGAGGGTCCTTGAAGCAATTGGAGGCCCTCTAAAAGGATGTAAATGATCAGCTGTCTGCAAGGAGTATAAATCCTTCCGTTCCCACTATCTGTTCAGAGCTGAAGAAGCTTCTTGGATGAGAAGTAAAATGTCCTCAAAAGAAAAGAAAAAACAAGAAAGTCCAGTTGCCTCCTGAAAAAGCACCTTTGGGACAACCATGACCTGGATGACTGAGAATCTCTACAAACATTCTCCTTTCCCCTTTCTTTCCCCACTCTGCTGAAAAGGAGGTAGGGAACATTTTGATTTACAATCCCCAAAGATCCTGTTCTGTAGCTTCCTGAAATTATAGAGGCACTCTCTCGCTCTCTCTCTCTCTCACACACACACACAAAGATGCACAACCAATTTGGTCATTGAGCACTGTGCCAGATGAATCCCCCAAAGTGGCTGGGATGAAGGAAAAGTAGCGGCGCCAGTCACAACATAAGCTAATTTGATTAAATTTTAAGTTACACTTAATTAGATGCTTAAAATTATCACTGATGATATTCACAAGAGTGCACCAATGAGCAAACTACAGGCAGGAACCACAGGTTGTGCATCTCCTAGTTTTAACTCAAACAATTGCAGGTAGGGGTCAAATCGGCTCAAAATCCAGCTGTGTTATCACAACCCATATTTTAAATTAATTTAAATTCTCAGGTCTCACGTCACATGAAATCCCTGTCATGCAGATGTGTTCCTTCTTTGCGCCTGTTAACTGTTGGGAGAAGATCTGCAAACGAGAGTCTCATTGCTATGCATAGATGCAATGCTAAATCCTATGAGCCAAAGTGCAGGACATTGATTTAATTAAAAATGTAAACATGTTTATTAATATCCTGGTCCTCTCCCTCAAGCATCTGATATAAACCAGAGGGTGAATCTACCGCCTGCATCGGAAAACAATCATCCCAATTGTAACAGCTGCGGCACCAACGGCCATAACAATCATAGTAACAATATATCAACGGCAACGCATTAAAGCATCAAAAACCGGTGCAAAAAAAAAAATCTCTGGAGACAAGGAGTGATGGATCTCCACAAAGAAGATGTGGTTTCCACCACTAGAAATATCCCGTGCTTACCTAATTTGAAATGATGGTTAAAAATACCCCTGAAACTCTGCAACTGCTCTTAAGGTTGCAACTAGTCTGTATATTTCCTTGGTTTTATGTTTTTTCAACCCTCCATTCTGAAGTCCGTCAAACAGAGGCAGAACATAGAGATGAAAATAAGACTAGAAGCACATTTCTTTTCCCTATCTCTTTAAGGATGCTTTTAAAAGTTTTAGCGGAGAACTGAAGCATTCCGTGCAGGTTCTCAACCAAATTCAGCTGCAAAACCCCAAGGCGATTTTCCCTTTCTCCCCAAATCCCACTGCATCTGTTAGCAACCAAAGAGGCTGTTTGATTCATTAATCTGCAATTTTATAGCAACGCTGATTGACTGGAATCCTAGAATAGAATACATCTGTGCCACCACCTCCCATCTGGAAACCTTTATGCACTAACTGCTCTTAATACTTATACTCTTGTTGTTAATTTGCTCCATGGTGAGGGCAACGGCCCACTTCCCTTCAACCACCCCTTGCCTTTTCCCCCCCCCTCATTCCAATATACGAAAACTGCCGCTTTCAGATGTGGCTTAACAAGCTTAGTGGCACTAGCCTAGTGAAAAATTAATAAGGGCCAGGACCATTGCAGAGAGAGGGGGGAGGGAGGAGGGAGGGAGGGGTAGAGAGAATTGGAAAAAGGAAACCTGGATAATTGCTCTGCTTAAGAATGGTTGATGGTGGCGGTAACATTGCCTGGAGTTGTTCTATGAATTCAGGGGTCTTCAATCTTGACAGCTTCAAGACTTGTGGACTTCAACTCCCAGAATTCCTCCTCCATTCCTGTTAGCTCAGGAATTCTGGGAGTTGAAGTCCACAAGTCTTAAACTTGCCAAGTTTGAAGACCCTTGTTCCATGTCCCTCCTGGAAGAAGGAATTTCCAAAAGTCAAGTTATGCAGAACTAACAACTGTGGCAAGAAAGGTCACAAAATGGGGAAAAACTCACTTAACAAATGTCTTACTGAGCAACAGAAATGTTGGGCTGCATTGTGGTCCTAAGTGGGAGGGATTGAGTGGCCTAGAGGTGGCGCTCTCATCTCACAATCAGGAGGCTTTGAGTTCAATCCTAGGTAGAGGCAGATATTTCTCTCTCTGGTCACAATAATAATTTATCTTCTAAATAAAACTCCACATTGGTGACAGGAAGGGCACCAGGCCAAAAAACACCCTGCTCCATTCAGTTGCCCAAACTCCACCTTGCAAGGGATTATGGGGGTCATTAAAAGGAGATGATGATTGTAGCCCTATAGTTTGTTTCGGCCTGACTTCTCTCAAAAGATTTGATCTTTTTAGTAACAACTGATGTTTCTCCATAAATAACTTGTTGAAAAGTTGGCATGCTCCATTGTCTAGTTGTCTCTTCCTCGTCTGGAAATCCACCTCCTTACTACATTCATTCACAAAAAAACAAACATTCTTTTGTTGGATGCAAAAACCTAAAACTGCATTTGCCTTCTTTATTGCCGCATATCAAATGACCAGCTCAAAATCAGTGTGCAATCACCTACTATACCAAGAACATTGTCATGAGTATTGTGTCGCCAAGCCAGGTGCCCCCATTCTACACCTGTGCATTTGATTTCTGCTTCACCCCTGTTTCCTAAGTGAATAACTTTTCATTGCTCTGTTAAGTGTCTTTTTGTATTTTCATCTCATTTCTCTAAGCTATTAAAAA